AACTTTAGCTTATTTTCAGCTTAGCTTCAGCTTAGCTGTGGCTTAGCTTTAGCTTAGCTTCAGCTTAGCTTTAGCTTAGCTTTAGCTTAGCGTTACTGTTACTACTAATGCTGCTTTCCTAGGGGTTCCAACTCCTAGGTAGGGTCGCACTGGGATAATTTTGTTTTTGCATTTTTTTCGTCGAAAATCCCCCTGTAGGGGGACACGCCCGACTTAACCGCAGCACCCGCACGGGTGCGCACGGAGTCCACCGTGCCGCCGGCTGGCCTCCGCAGCGCGGCCCGTCCTGCCCGCAGAGCGGCGGCTGGCCGGCCCCCGGGCCGCCCCTCGCGGCCCCTGGGCACGGCCGCTCCGGCGCAGGGCCTCCCGGCGAGCGTTCCTCCTCCTCCTCCTCCTCCTCTTCCTCCTCCTCCTCCTCCTCCTCCTCCTCCTCCTTCCCCCCCTCCTCCCCCCTCCCCCTCCCCCCCTCCCCTCCCCCCCCACGCTCCTCCTCCTCCTCCTTCGCCTCCGCCTCCGCCCTCCTCCTCCTCCTCTTCCTCCTCCTCTTCCTCCTCTCGTCCTCCTCCTCCTCTCCTCCTCCTCCTCCTACTCCTCCTCCCGTCTCCCTCCCCCTCCTCCTCTCCCTCCGCTCCTCCTCCTCCTCCTTCTCCTCCTCCTCCTCCTCCTCCTCCTCCTCCTCCGCCTCCGCCTCCGCCTCCGCCTCCCGCGCGGCGAGCCGTGTCGAGCAGGCAACCTCGAACAAGCAGCTTGGGATGCAACTCCTGGGAGGTCAAAATCTGATTTTGCACTGGTCCGAAGTCTGGCTTAATCCGGCTTAATCCCGCTCGTAATTCCGCTCAGTCCCGCTGTATCCCGCTTAGTCCGGCTCAATCCCGCCTAATCCGAGGCCCACTCCGGCGCAATAGCTCCCAAGTGGGGCTTAATCCTCCTTAGCCTTTCCGACGAAAGCCTCCCAGCAGTTGCCCCCTAAGGCAGCACGTGTGCTCGTTCGCTTATTCACTGTTCTGCCGATCGTCGCGGGCCCTCGCGCCCCCTCCCTCCCCCCCAGAGTCGGAGGTGGATAGACCTCCTACCCTGACGCGTCGATTAGGGAGTTGGCCGTTTTCGGTTCGCGAGAGGGCGTCGCTGCCGTCACTTTTGCGGGTCCAGGTCCGTCGGTTTCGGTCCCAGGCCGATTCCACTAAGTGGAGGTTTACTAAAGGGAGGTTTGTCCACCGCCGACAGAGCGTTCCGGAACGCTCGCAGAGCGTTCTGGGGCGCTCTGAGGAGGCCGCGGCGCCCGAGACATCCTCTAGAGCCGCCTGATCTCGGAGATTCTCGATCTTATCTGCCTCGATACGCCCGTTTTGAGACGCAACACGTGGTGTGCTCAAAACGTCCGTGTCAATACGTTTCGTGTTGCGTGTTGCGTATCGGGGCAGCTAAGCTCTCGAGTTTTCCTCACCCGATCTTATCCTGGTCCTGGCTTCGTCTCATCTGGGTTCCCCAGCAGCTTCCGTTCCGGAGGCCTGGAAATCGGCAGGATGCGCAAAAGCAGCGACCCTCGATGCTGACCCTCTTGGGCCCGCGTGGATTTCCCATGGAAGCAGGCCGCCGTGAAGGTCGCCGGCACAGGGTTGCGAAACTGACCATCGGAGCGCCCCCACGCTTTCGAGCATGTGGGCCCCAGTTCGGGCCAGCACGCACCTTTCCTCCGCTTCCTCCTCCTCATTCTCCTGCCGCTCTTGCTGTCCTCCTCCCCCTTCCCCGTCTCCTTCTCTGACCCGCTCCTCGATGGTCGAAGATTTAGTTTTTGCATGTGTTTGGGTTCTCTTTGGTTTCCAAACGCATTCTGAGGCTCCTGGGAACCCTGGAGGTCTTTGGAGTCCTCCGAAGGCCTCTGGAGACTGTCGTCATCCTGCTCCTTTTCTTCCTCCTCCTCCTCCTCCTCTTCCTCTCTCTCAGGGCACACAAACGCCGTGGACTGGTGGACTTTGGGCATTCTGCTGTTCGAGCTGATGTCTGGCCACCCCCCTTTCGAGTCGGCCTACCCGATGCAGATTTATTCCAAGGTCATTCCCTGCTCTGTTCCTCCTGGTCCTCGTCCTCTCGCCCTCCCCCTCGCCGTCCCCTCGCCCCCTCTCCTTTTCTCTGTCTGTGTCTCTGTCTCCATTTTTGTCTTGCCTCCAGGGCTTAAAACAATGCCCCTACCCTGGTTTACGCGGCGCTGTGCGCTGAAACTCCTATGGGCTGACAGGGTAAACACTGTGATGTGCGGCGTCCTGGCGTCCTCTAGGCCTTGGGGCTTCCCAGGAGGTTTACAGACCACGCTCTTGTAACCCAGGGTAGGGGTTGTTTTTTTCATCCCTCAGTTTGCCTCTCTCTCTCTCTCTCTTTCTCTCCCTCCCCTTCTCTCTATACGTATACATATACCAGTGCCCAATATGAGTAATGCTCTCCGCTCTCCCTGATGCTGTCCAGTGTCGGGCCTGTCCCTCTACAGGAGGAATATTCAAAAATAGTAAAAAAATAGTCTGGGGACGATTTTTTGAGCATTTTTGATGGGGGTATTTTTTGATTATTCCCTACCTAGGCTCTGCCTAGAGGGGTTCTTACTCGATTGGCTTAAAGGGCCGGGCAGTGGAAACCGCCCCGGGCGGTTCCCCCGGTTGCGCTCCCTGGGTGCTCAGCAAAAGCAAAAGCAAAGGGAACAGTGAAGGCAAAAGCGAAGGCAAAGCAGAAGCATAGCATAGCATAGCATAGCATAGCATAGCATAGCATAGCGCAGCACAGCATCCTACTAATGTTGCTTTCCTAGAGGCTCCAACTCCTATGTAGGGTCGCACTGGGATATTTTTTTATTTTTCGTCCAAAATCCCCTTTAGGGAGACACGACCGACTTAATTTTTTGATGTTTGTTTCGATTGGCCCGTCTTGTGTGTTTTTCCCATTCGGATCGTCTTCGGCCGTTCGTCTTCGGCCGTCCCGACGGACGCTGTCGCTTCAGCGCCTGCCGCGCTCCAGTCCCATGTGTTCAAGTATTCAATACGAGTGCTACTCTCCTCACCCCTCTCATGTTGTCCAGTGGGCGGTGCCTCTCCCGCGTGTTGTCTTCATGCACGCGATTTCAATCATGATGGCTTTCTGATCGAGTAGTCTTCGGCATGGTCTTCCCATGTGAGGCGTTCCAAATATGGCCTTGCCTTCGAGGATCGAAGGAGCTGTCATCTCATCCGCCGCGGAAGGCGGCGGAAGGGTGGTGGAAGGTCGGAGGAGGTAAAACGAGGCCTCCTCCGCAGGCGGAAGCCGGCGAAGAGGCGGCGGAAGGCGGCGCCAGTAACACGTGCGCCCCGATGAAGACGTTTTTGGGTTCAGGGTTCCCCCACTCAGATCGTTCTCGGCCGTTCGTCTTCGGCCTTCCCGAAGGGCGATCTCGTCTCCGCGCCGTTCGTCTTCGGCCTTCCCAAAGGGCGATCTCGTCTCCGCGCCTGCCGCACTCCTGCCTCCCTCCACCGTTCCTCAGTCTGAGCACTGTTCTCAAGAACAGTGCAGCCCTGCCCCTGGTGAGGCTGCACGCTTGTGATGTTCATGGTGCGTCCTCCCCGACATGACGTGAAGTCGTCTAATCGGACTGCGGCTCACATGGAGCGCACATCGTACACCGAGTACGCAGACAATGTATTCTTTTGCCCTGTGTGCACCCGCGCGTGCAGTAGGCGTCACCACTTCAAAAATCGCTTGTATCAGACGCAATGCGGCCTTACGGCCTCGAATGGGATTACTCCGAGGCCGCTTTCCACAAGCGTGAGCGCACCGAGCAGAATGATCGGGAGCCCTTGAAGCAGGCCCCCCTCCGAGGCGGAACCTTTCTCTTGGCCTGCGACTGGCGTCGAAGTTGAGAATGCACTCTGCTAGTTTGTGTTCTGCCTGTCCTCTCGAGCTTGCAGCTTCTACGTCCTCGGGGCGCACGTGCTACTCTTAAGTCGGGCCTGTGCCTCTACAGGAGGAAGATTCAAAACTAGCCAAACAAAAGTCAGGGGACGATCATAGGAGTATTTTTTGACCATTCTGGAATACAATTCGACTATTCTTAATTTTCCCTCGAAAATCACCCTGTAGGGGGACGAGCCCGACTTGGTGCTGCTCCCCTGTCTCCCCCGACGCTGACCGGTGCGAGGGCCACCCCTCCCGCGGGTGCAGCCGTGCCGCCGCCTCCAGAGAGGGCTTCCGAGGGCCCGCTCGCCGCCCAGGCGGCCGAAGCCCCCGAAGTGTGGGGCGTCCGCGGCGCTCGTCGTCGTCGTCGTCGTCGTCGTCGTCGTCGTCGTCGTCGTCGTTGTCGTCGTCGTCGTCGTCGTCGTCGTCGTCGTCCCGTTCTTCTGCCTCCTAGTCCTTCTCCTCGGCTGCCTCCTCGTTTTCCTCCTCCCTCTGGTCCTCCTCACCCCCCTCCTCCGTCCCTTCGCCTGGCTCCCCTCGCACTGCAAATGCCACTCAAGTGTCAGGGCCCCGTTCGACACCTGGATTGGCGAATCGGCAAAGATTGAGCACCGTGGACGGGGAGGGTGCGATGGGCGCGAGCGCGCCTATTTTGCACCCTCCCCCTCCACCCCCCTCTCGCCCCCTCCCTCCTACCGCGCACTGGCCGGCTGCCACCGTGGCACTGCGCCCGTTAGGGACGGGGCGTTTGAGTGGAAGAGGTCGGTCTGTTGATGGCGGCGCCGCCGGTCGCCCCCAGCGGCCCCCAGCTGCTGGTTCCCTCCCCTCGTTTTCGCAGTGGAGCTGTGCAGTTCAAACGCATGTTGTTTGTTTAGCTTTGTTATTGTTTTGTGCTGTTTGAGGTGGCTCGCCTTGGGCTGCTCGCCCTCGCCCGGGCGTTCCAGGGGGGTGCCCGGATCGTGCCGAAGGGCCGCTCCGACTCCTGTCTCGAGAGCCGCTTGGAGGAGGTGGGGCCGCCTGCGCTGTGGGGTGGGTGGCCGAACTTGGCCGGAGGTGATGAAAGGCATCAACAAGGTCCCTTTCCCGGTGAAGTGCCAGGGTCCCGTGGGCGAGCTCATCAAGGGCCTCCTCAAGAAGGAGCCCAGCGAGCGCCTGCCCATGAGGCCGGGGGGCACCCGCAACATCAAGGAGCAGAAGTGGTACAACGACTTCGACTGGGGGGCCATGGAGAACGGGACGATGGAGGCACCGTGCTGTCAGGAGCAATGAAAGGGGGGTGGGCAGGTGTGGTTCAGGAGGCAGAGGAGGGCGGAGGAGGGGCGGAGGAGCAGGATGCGGAGGAGCAGGAGGCGGAGGAGGCGGGGGCGGAGGAGGACGAGGCGCAGGAGAAGGAGGGTCTGAGTGGGCGGAGGGGGAGGAGGGGGAGGCGGAGGGCGGATGCAGAGGGTGGAGGCGCCGTACAAGCCGACGGTTAAGAGCAAGAAGGACATCTGCAACTTCTCCGCTCGACCTCAGGACATGCCGAAGCAGGTCGCATATAAGGACGACGGAACAGGCTGGGACAAAGACTTCGCCAGTTGACGACTTGCATCTTTCATTTAACATCTTGCCCCTTCTCTTCTTCCTCCTCCTTCCTTCCTCCTCCCTCCTGCCCCCTCGTTTCTTTCCCTCCTCCTGCGGAGCAAGAGTGTGTGAAGGAGGCTGGGGGTGAGAATGAAAAGGAGGCCCATGCTGATTACACTGAGGAGGGGGAAAGGAGGAGTTGGAGGAGAATTGGACGAGGAAGAGGAGAATGCGTAGGGAGAGTAGGAGGATGCTGGTGATGATGAGGAGAGAGAAGACTAGCATAAGGAACACATATAGCAATAGTGTTGGGATGATGGCGAGGAGGAGGTCGGGGAATCTGATGATGAACAGACAAAGGAAGCGTATGGCAATGGAGGACATGGAGGGGAAACAGGAGGAGGCCGAGAGGAGGGCGGATGTGGAGGAGGAAGAAATGCACGAGCAGCAGGATTTGGGACGATGATAACTGTGCTGATTATGCTGATGCGGCTGCTGCTGATGCCGACGGTGGTCGTTATGGTTGCGATGATGGTGATGACGATGCTACGGGTAATAATGCTGCTGCTGATGATGATGACTATACTGTCACTGGCTACTGGTCCTGGGATGCTGATGGGTCATATTGTATCACATGCTATGGCGAGGAGGAGGATGGTGACGATGACGACGATGAGGATGATGATGACGATGCTGATGGTGCTGATGATTATGTTGATGATGTTGGTCATGCTGCTGGTACTGATGGTGCTGATTCTGATGCTGATGATGATGCTGATGTTGATGATGATAATGATAAAGATGATGATGATGCTACTGATGTTGATGCCACTGATGACGATGCTACTGATGATAATGGTGGTAATGATGATGTGGCTGATGCTGATGCTGATGCTGATGCTGATGCTCATGCTGATGCTGATGCTGATGCTGATGCTGATGATGCTGATGACGATGATGCTGATGCTGATGGTGATTATGATTCTGATACTGATGCCGACGACGATTCTGATTCTGATGATTCTCATGCTGATGATTCTGATGATGAGGATGATGCTGATGACCAGGATGCTGATGCTGCTGCTGCTGCTGATGATGATGATGATGACTCTGAAGATGCTGATGATGAGGATGATGACGGTGCTGCTGATGATGGTGATGGTTATGGTGACGGTGATGGTGATGGTAATGGTAATGGTGATGCTGCTGATGATGCTGATGACGATGATGATGGCTGATGATGATGATGATGCTGACGATGCTGACGATGATGGGGATGATGATGATGATGATGACAATGCCGATTATGATGACGATGATGATGGTGATGATGATGATGATGATGATGATGATGATGATGATGATGATGATAATGTTGCTGCTGCTGCTGCTGATGATGATGATGGTGATGGTGATGGTGATGGTGATGATGGTAATGAGGATGCTGATGCTGATGCTGCTGCTGATGATGATGATAATATTGATGATGATGATGATGATGATGATGATGATGATGATGATGATGATGATGATGATGATGATGATGATGATGATGATGATGATGATGATTATGATTATTGTGGGGAGGGGGAGGTGGGATGCAGAGGAGGAGGAGGCGGAGGAGGAGGAGGTGGAAGAGTGCGGATGAGGAGCAGGAGGAGGAGGAGTAGGAATGTGGATGAGGCGGAGGATGATGATGATATGACGATGGCGACGATGATGATTAGGAGGATGAGGCTGACGATTTTTAATATCAGGAGGAGCAGTAGGAGGAGGAGGAGGAGGAGGAGTAGGAGGAGGAGGAGGAGGAGGAGGAGGAGGAGGAGGAGGAGTGCGGAGGAGGCGGAGGATCATGATGATATGACGTTGGCGACGGTGATAATCAGGAGGGTGAGGCTGATGTTTTTTATGATCAGGAGGAGGAGGAGGAGCCGGAGGAGGAGGAGGAGGAGGAGGACCAGTGTGGACCCCAGAGTCATCAACGATGTTGGAGTAAACCCTCCCTTCAAGCTCCCTCTTCATAGGCCCCTACAACGGTTTGTTTCCATTGAGGGAACTGCCTCGTTGGAAGACAACCGTTTGAAGACCCTGAAGCATGCCAAACGATTGTTCTCGGGATTCCAACGCCACGGATCAACCTGACCGTTGCACCTCGACGATCCTGAATCGTGCCAGAACGCCAGTCCTAGGACTTCAACACAGAGTGTCAACGTAACTGTTGCACCCACATAATCCGGAATCCTTCCAAAACACCATTTCTGCTACGTTGATGATGGTAATCCATTTTTTTTTTTTTTTTTTTTTTTTTTTTTGAAAATGTTGTAAACGAATATGCGCGGCGCTAAGGCGAGAGCCACATTTCGAAAACCATCCGCCCTCAATGCGTGAAACTGTTGCATTTTTTGCAAGAATGTGCTCTGCGCTAAGGCGAGAGCCACATTTTGAAAACGACCCGCCCTCAATCCTTGAAGCTCTTGCACATGTTTCAAACGAATGTACGCCGCGCTAAGGCGAGAGCCACATTTCGAAAACCATCCGCCCTCAATGCGTGAAGCTCTTGCAAGTGTTTAAAACGAGTGTGCGCCGCGCTAAAGCGAGAGCCACATTTTGAAAACCATCCGCCCTCCATCTGTGAAGCTATTACCAATCTTTTAAGCTTCGGAGCCATCAATGGTGAGGAAATCTCAGGCGAAACGCCTGGCCCGCCCCAAAAAACTGGCCTCGGGGTGCGACAGAGAGAAGTTATTCATAAGGTTAAGGAATTGAGGAGGAGGAGAAGGAGGAGGAGAAGGAGGAGGAAATGGGGGACTACCAGGATGCGAGTGAGGAGTCTGAGGATGCTGGTGATGAGGACGATGACTATGACGAGGAGCATTTATGTATCATTTATGTATATATATATATACATGTATCTGTTAACATATAGATATATATGTATATGTGAGTTTGTACGCGTTTTCCGCAGAAGGGGAGGCCTTCGGACAACACGGTGCTTTCTGTTGCATCCGTAGTCGCTCCTTTTTTGTTCAGAGAGGCCCGCCCGGGCCGCTCGTTCTGGCGCCACGCACTTCTCTCAGGACAAGCTACACTTTCTGTACTCCGTCCTTCGAGACGTAGTAGCCTTCAACTCCCCGGCCCGTGAGCCGGTCTGCCATTGTCGTTTTGAGGGAAATCAGTGTGAGCCAATCTCGGACACGGGCTGCAAGCACATCGAACGTATTCTGACACGACAGTTGGAGACAGTCCAGAGCCAGCTCAGTTCATCGGTGACGGTAACGTTCAGCATCAGCCTCGCCTTCAGTTTCAGCTTGGTCTTCTTCCTGGCGGGGCTTCTCGTGGGACGGTGCTCCTCGCGGCGCACGTCGACGTCCACTTCATCGGCCCCCGTCTTCGAGCAGCAGGCGACAACCCGTGTGAGGAGTGGTCCAGCGACCCCGGCATCATTACGGTTGGCTGATCAACAATGAGTGCTCTGGATGTCAAAGAAAGGCAGATCTTGGTGCGCTACGATGACGATGCTAACTTTACCTGGCATCATCGCCTATTGCTCGTTCGGATCTCTTCAGGCAGATGGGTGGTCCTCACCCCGACGGGAGACTTGCAGATCCTGGACACCGCCACGGTCAGGTTTGAGCCGCTGGCTCGGGGCAGGCCCGTGCCAGAGAGGTGTCGTAACGACTGCTTCCTTTTCGACCCGATCCCTATCAGAGAACTCAGCGAGGCCATTGCGCGCGCGAAGGTGCTGGCCGACATCGCTGGGGAAGAGATCGAGGTGGATGACGCCGAGGTCTGGGTGGTCTCTGACACGTCTCACCCGAGGTTCGGGGAGCCGGTGGAGCCCGGCATCCTGGATGACGCTGGGCGGGCCCTGCTCCGGGACACCAAGGGGGTGGTGCAGCTCGACGCCAACGACGCCTCGACGGAGGTGCACGTGGAGCGCGTTCACCAGCACGACCTGGCGGACTGGAAGAGTCGGGTCGGCGGTGGAGGCGACCTGCGGCTCCTCGGCACCTTCCGTACGGCGGGAGGCAAGCGCTTCCTCCAGGCGAAAGACGCAGTGGGCAAGCTCGAGGAGACTAAGTTCGACGACTTCCCGTTTGCTGACCCGCGTGCAGTCAAAGAGTACCTGGACGGGATCCTGGAGACCACCGATGGCTCTTTCGACAGCTACCATCAGAACTGGTGCGTGGCGGCCGGGGTCTCGCCCAACAGTGGGATCGCGCATGACCATCGTATCATCTTGGAGGCGCTGCGTTTGGGTCTCACCTATGACCAGTACAATTTGGCAAACTCTGCCATGGGGGAGCAGCTCGTCAGGAGGCTCATCCAGCATGAGCTCGCGGTGGAGAAGGACGCGAAGCACCCCGACTACAGCGGGCTCGGATACATGTTGGCGGGCTCGACCGAGGACAAGGGGCGCGTGGCCGTGCCCAAGTTCACCAGGTGGGTCGCCGAGAAGCAGCACCAACGGGCCTTCACCCTCAAGCAGTCGCGTCTACTTCGAGAGGAGCGGGCCGCCGAGGACAAGAGGCGTGGTGGCGGCCAGAAAGGTGTCAAGGGCGCCTCCAAGGGGAACAAGGGCGACGCCGCCGACGGCGGCAAGGGAGGGCAGGGCTAGCTGCCTTCGCCGCCCACGCGGGGCCGAGTACCTGGTCGGTCTCGGCGTCACTAACTTCGCACAGGTAGGAGCCTCCAGTCTGTTGCTTCGGGCTCCGAGTTTTGTATGCCGTGGTCATCGCGATCATGGTCGGCGGCGGCATGGTGATCCTCTTCCCTTGCCAGTTCGCTTGGTGAAGGGCTCCCTCGGGGGCTCCGGACGCCGGTGGCGAGGAATGCGCGGGCAACCTGGACATCGAGACCAGCGTCTTGTCGAGTCGGTTCGCTCACTCAACTTCCTGTATCGCACCAGAGTATGTTCAGACGAGAGCTGCCTATATCGTGGCAGTTCGGGCAAGGCCTCTTCTTCACAGATGTCCATCCTGAAGTCTCTGGATGACCGCATCTCTCTCTACGGCGAACGACCGCGAGACCTGACCCCGCTGAGCGCGCTCAATGAAGTGTGCAAAGCGAAAGACCTGTACACGCAGGAGCCACAACACATGGCGCCGTACCTTCCTGACAAGCTGAAGGTGACGAAGGGCGCCACCACCCCTCTCCCTTTAGAGTCCGTGCTCCCTGCCGGCGCTCTGCGGCTGGCGACGGACTTCAAGAAACACGTGTTGAAGAGTGAGAGTGAGCTTGAGGCAGATCGTTTGAGAGGCGTCTCTGTCACCCCGTACTGGTGTCCGGACCTGCGGCGCTCAAAGCAGTGCCGCCGCGAGTTGTTCGCCACGCTGTACGACCGCCAGCTTCTCACCTTCAGGCGACGCATCTTTTCGAGGGTCTCGATCTTCTTCGTCTGGAAGAAGACAGGTATGACCAGGCTGATCGTGGACGCCCGCTCGACCAACGAGAAGTGCCGGATGCCCCCTCACACTGACTTGGGCACGATCGCCGCCTTGGCGGACGTGGATCTCAGCTTGGCCGAGCTCTCCGATATCGCGGACGCCGAGTTGAGCACCGAGGAGGAGGCCGAGCTTCTCAAGGGGCAGGGCGGGCTTTTCGCTCTTCCTTTCTCTGGGAGCTCTCTGGACGTGGTCGACGGCTTCTACCAGTTTGACAACTGGCGTATGGCGAGCTGGTTCGGGATGGATGATCCCGACGAGGCAGGCGTCTACGGAGTCACCGAGGTCTGGGATGACGACCTCGAGAAGATGGTGCCGGTGCAGCCCACTGACATCGTGTACCCCTGCTTCAGAGCGCTTAGCATGGGTTTTACGTGGGCTCTCTATTTTTGTCACTCAGCTGTGGAGCATATCGTCGCTGCCGGGGTCCCTGGAGGCGCCTCTCGCGCTGCTCGGGAGAAGCATCGGGCGCCGCGGGCCTCGTTTGCAAGCCCGATCACCTCGACCTACGTCGACAACGCTGCCCTGCTGTCTGCTAATACCAGTACTTCAGACCTTCAGACTGTTCTTCACCAGTTCTCTGCGCGTGACATGCGCACACACGACATAGTAGAGCACACCTTTGCGCTAGAGCACTTGGGCGCCGTCTTCGACGGACATCGGCGTCTTCTGCATCACCAGCCGCGCCGAGTGTGGCGGGTGTACCTGGCCGGCAAAGAACTACTCCGACGTCGGCGACTTCGAGGTGAAGTTCTTCGAGTCTGGATCGGCCACGTGGTGCACCTCTTCATGCTCAACAGGCCGGCGTTGTCCTGTCTGTGGGCAGTCTACCAGTTCATCCAGCATGCACTCGAGCGGCGTTGCCGGGTGTGGGGCTCTGTGCGCCAGGAGATCAAAGTGATTCTGGGTCTAGTCTTCCTCTGCCAGCGCGACTTGAGTGCCCCGCGTTTGCGGATGGCCTACTGCTCTGACTCCTCTGACTTGGGGTGCTGCTTGGCGGTCACGAGCGCCTCGGATGCGGAGCTCAGGGAGGCGGCAGCCTATCACGAACGATGGCGTTTCATCGAGGATCGGTCGGACCCGCGGTGCGAGCTGGCCCCCTACCTCGAGCTCTGCGACAGCGCGGGCCTCTCGCCTCTGGGGGGCTCGCCAGAGCCGTGGCGTGAGGATCACGTGCCACCCGCCGTGGCTGCTCCTCCTCGCCCTCCCACTCAGCTGGAGCGCCAGCATCGGAGAGAAAGTGACAGGCTCGCCCCTGGAGGAGTTCGCCGAGCACTTCGAGAGCGAGTCCTGCGGGAGGATCCTCGTCAGGTGCCCGCACTCGGTCCCAACTGGGACCCGCCCGAGCGCTGGAAGACCCTATTCGAACGGAAGTGGAATGACCCTACTGAGCACATCAACACCAAGGAAGGCAGGGTGATGCTGGCGGGGCTTCGGCGTGCCTGCCGCAACCCGCGCTGCCACAAGAAGCGGCTCCTCTCCCTCTCCGACAGCCTGGTCGCCTGTTGCGCCTTTGATCGAGGGCGTGGGCGAGGCACGGAGAAGACCAACTGGGGCCTTCGCTATCTTGGCCAACGGGCAGCAGCTCTGCAGATCGCCTGCGACATCCAGTGGGCGACTCGGCACCTCGAGGGAGTTCGCAACCCCGCGGACGCGGGCTCTCGCCGTTTTGACGGAGGTGCTGACCCGACGGAGAAGGCACGCAACCTCGGCTTGGAGCGGGGCGGTCACGACATGGCCATCGTCCGCGCCTCCTGCCGGGTCCGTCCTTCGGGTGGCGCGTCAGGCGCGCTGGCCCGTCTTTTGCACTTGCCAGGCGTCGCTGCTGCACGAGCGGCGCCCGCTGCCTCGAGGAAAAAGAAGGCGTACTTCGTCATGCCTGAAGACACCCCCGCGGGTGGGTGTTCATCCTCCTCTAGCTGTCCCTCTGGGGCTCAGGCCCCCTCTCCGGGCTCATCAAGGAGGCCCTCACCATCGAGTACGGCGCCCCGCAGGACTTCTACGGGGCCTCCCACGGGCACTTCAAGGGCTTCAGCGTGTTCTTCGGCTCCCGACAGGACCTCCTCGGGGACTCCATCAAGGTGCTCACACGTCCCAGTCTTGGAGGCCTCCAAGCCCAAGGGCTACGACTTGAACCGCACACTGCGCGTTAGGAGAGGGGCGATCTTTCTGGAGTTGTTCGCGGGCCACGAGGGCCTCACCAGGGCCGTGGCCTCTCTAGGCGTTCCATGTGGAGAAGGTATCGAGCTCTCGAAAGGCCCCGAGTATGACCTCTTGGATCCCGGCGTCAGGCAGTACATCATCGGTCTCATTCAACGGGGCAAAGTTCTATGTGTGTGGTTGGGGACCCCTTGCAGCGCCTTCAGTATAGCGAGGCGAGGCGTTCGGAACCTAGAAGCTGCTCGTGAAAAGGACTGGCTGGGGGCCCAACATGCATGGTTTTCGTCAGAAGTTATTCGTGAATGTCTGAAATACAACGTGGCCTTTGTCTTGGAGAATCCTCTCACGTCTCGTCTCTGGGGCTTTGAGCCGATCATGGAAATCATGTCTTACTCACGCGTCTCAGTTGTTGAATTTCACGCTTGCGGTTTCGAGGGAACCATCAAGAAACCTACTCGGCTGATTGGCACTCTTCCTGGCCTGGAGCAGCTGTCTAAAAGATGTCCTGGCGGCCACGTCCACACGGTTGTGACGGGTAAGTTCTATCTCTGGAATGCTGACAAGCAGGCATATCGATGGACGCAAGCTTCTCGAGCCGCAGGAGTCTACGGCTCAAAGTTCTGCTTCAATGTAGCACGGCTGGTTCGGGCCCACGCACAGCGGCATCATATCTTCCCTTTTTCTCGGGATGCCACGGCTCGACACATCGTTAGCTCGGCCCGCCTCCAACAAGCGCACGATCCAAACCTCCGGCGTCGTCAGCGAAGGGGCTTTGACCAGTGGAAGTCGGCCCCGCACGTCGGCGACGAGCTCGACAGGGTCCCGGGCAGGCTCATCGCTTACGTCGGCCAGCAGTGGCGCGACCTTGCGCGCTCCCGCGCAGAGGCTCGGCGCTCGACGACAGCGTCTCGCGCGCCCGCCTGCTGTACGACACGGGCCTGCTCCTCTGCCTCGGAACCTGGTCGAGAACAGCGTCTCGGCCGCCACCCTGCACACCTGCAAGGCGGAGGTGGGCGAGTTCGAGGCTTGGGCAGCTGGCAGGGTGCGCAGCCTCCGCACGCACGAGGCGGCAGACTCTGCGATGTCGGACTACTTCGAGTGGCTCTACGCCCAGAGAGAGCAGCCCCAGCTTGGCAGGTGGGCCCTGTACGGCTACGCGCTGCTGAGGCTCTCGCATCTGGGCCGCGGAGGGCACGTCCTGCCCAGGGCCAAGGCAGCTCTTCGAGGTTGGATTCGCCAGATGCCCGGTCGTATCCGTGACCCTTGTCCCATCGAGGCGGCCTGGCTGATAGTTCAGTGGCTTCTTCTCAAGAATCAAGCTTTCTACTTCTGGTGTGCTCTTGCTGTGGTGTTGCAAGTGGATACCTATGTCCGCCCGGGCGCCCTGATGGATATCAAGCGAGAAGACCTACTGCCCCCAATTCGCCAACGTGGCTCCCGCTACACCGATTGGGGCCTCGTTCTTTCTCCCAGCACCCGGGCCGGCAAGACCAAGTCCGGCGAGCAAGATGACACGTTGATCATTGGTATCCTCGACCGCACCTTTGTGAAGGATGTAGCCGCTTTCTTGCATGGGTCCGCTCACGATGGTGAGCGAGTCTTCCGCCACCTCACACTTCCGTCATACGAGAAGTCCATCAAAGAAGCCTCAGAGGCGCTGGAGCTGAATGCCCTGAGGATTGTGCCGCATTGTTTCCGACACACTGGCCCCTCGACCGATGCCTATCTCAAATCCCTCAGCATCCAGCAGATTCAAGACCGTGGAAAATGGAAGTGTCCCGCCTCGGTGAGGCGATACGAGAAGCACGCAACTCTTCTACGTCAGTTGCACAAAATGACACCCCGCCAGCGGCGGGAGGCTATTGCTGCCGGTCGTCAACTCCCGGACCTGCTCAAGCACGCTTTTCGCCAGTATCTTTAACTTGCCGACCAGCTACCCCACCACCACCCTGGACATTATTATGCGTATGGGAGGTTTTCTTTCACCGTGTGCCGACGCACACGCGAAGCGCTTCGAGTTTCTCTCTGACTTCGTTGTGGATGGATCTACGCTTCATCATGTCTGAAAACGAAGTTCCACAGCTTGATAGTGCGTCGGCTTTGCCCGTTTCCGCCGCTTCCTTGAAGGCCGCTTGAGACACTGTGTGAATGTGAGTTTGTACGCGTTTTCCGCAGAAGGGGAGGCCTTCGGACAACACGGTGCTTTCTGTTGCATCCGTAGTCGCTCCTTTTTTGTTCACCTCCCTGTCCCCGCCTGCCACCCTTCTTTCTTTGACAAGGTGACTCCCCTTATGAGGGAGGTTTTCTTTCACCGTGTGCCGACGCACACGCGAAGCGCTTCGAGTTTCTCTCTGACTTCGTTGTGGATGGATCTACGCTTCATCATGTCTGAAAACGAAGTTCCACAGCTTGATAGTGCGTCGGCTTTGCCCGTTTCCGCCGCTTCCTTGAAGGCCGCTTGAGACACTGTGTGAATATATATATATGTATATAGCAACAGTGTGAGGAGGATCGGGAAGAGGAGGATGAGCGATATGAGGAAGCGTATGTGGAGGGATGATTGAGAGGGGAAGCGTGAGGATGACGAGGGCGGCCCTTCCCCTCCTCGTCCTCATCCCCATGTTCATCCTCATCCCTCCTCCCTCCTCCCTGTCCCCCCTTCCTCCCCTCCTCCTCCTTCTCCTCCCTCCTCTTTCTCCTCTTCCTCCTGCCTCCTCACTCCTCCCAGTTCTGGCGCTCGGGTGCCAGCTCGCCGTCCGCGCCTGGACCAGCCCAGGGGCCGCAGCGGCGCAGATTTCACGCCGGGTCCTGGCTCTGCTTGCAGCCTGCTTTTCCGCCCCGCGGCCGCTCCCAGACGTCCAGGTACCCGGCGCCCTCGGAGGGCTCCCCTCGAGGGCCTCTCTCTCCTCGAAGGGCCCTCGACGGCTCCTCGATGGCTTGGCCTTCGAAGGGCCCCCCCCCAAGGTCCTCGAGGTCTAAGGGCCTCGAGGGCCCTTCGGGGGACTTCCAGCGCACAGGCAGGATCGCACAGCTGTCGAGCACGTGCCGGGCGACTGGCACTGGAGCTCCTGGCCTACTCCTGCCCTGGCTGCCCGTTTCCCCCCGGTTTCACGCTGTGCCGGCCGACGCGAGGCGGTGGATAGTGGGCGACGGCACCTCAAAATCGTGTCCGCGCGACAGCGAGGGCGGCGACGACTGCGATCGGAGGGGCTCGCTGTGGACACCACGTCGTCTGGTCGGCCAGGGAGCCGACAGAGCCGTGAGTCGCACGGAGCACGCTGTGCACACGTGCTCGGCTACTGCGGCAGGTTCACCTGACCTGTGGAAGACGACTCCAGGTGACTGGCAGAGCTGGGCGCTAGAGATGATGCAGGCAAAACCTGGATCAGGCCCAGAGGCGTTGCTGCTCGGTTTGCCACGGCGCTGGCGCTCCAGCATCTCAGCGCCTGGGAAGCTGCGGCGCCTGCACACCGAGCTCCTCGGCCGACGAGCCGACCTGGCGTGCACTGCGAGCCCCGCCCACACGACGACGCCGATGCCGCCGCTCCGCAGGTTCTCGGCCGCTCCTGGAGACCGGTCGCCACGGCCGCGCGCGGCTCGGAGACCTGGCCGGGCTGGGCCCCCCCGGGGCCATGCTGCGAGGACGACGGTCGGCGCGCCCCTCGTCCCCCCAGGGCCCCCTCGCGCCAGAGGAGTACCCCACGGCGGGTCTCCGGCAGAGGAGGGGCGAGGGGAAGGAGGAGGAGGAGGAGGAGGAGGAGGAGGAGGAGGAGGAGGAGGAGGAGGAAGAGGAGGAGGAGGAGGAGGAGGGGCACGAGGCCTCCCCGTTGGCCCCTGACAGGCCCTGGAGCCGTCAGGAGACGCCCCAGGATGAGAGGCCTGTCCCCAGGAGGGAGGGGTCGAGTTCTCCTGGGCTCCCACGCTGTGCACGCGTGGGGGCTCTTCTCTTCAGTGCAGTCGCGTTTCGCATTCCGCCCTTGTGTGGAGCTGTTGTCGCACGTGCGTCGCGAATGAGACCCACGTGCGACACGAGTGAGGCAGGGATACGTCATGGATGCGACGTAAATGGGGCAATGCTGAAACATGGACAGGGCATCGACAGGAATGAGAGACGAGTGGGACCTCAACGAGACACGACTGGGACATTCACGCGACATGAACACGACATTCAGTAGACACGCGTGAGACATGCATGAGACATTCAGTAGACATGTGCGACATTCATTAGACTTTCGATAGACATGCAGGAATGGGACAGGCGCGACATTCATTAGCCTTTCGATAGACATGCGCGGCATGAATGGTCGAAGAAGAAAAAAGGCTTGGATCCGCGCTGGGCCCCCCCCTGGCGGAGCCTCCGGCGCCGCCCCAGGCGCGCTCCTCGCGCCAGGGAGGGTGGCCCAGCGCAGATCCAAGAAATCTGCGCGGAACGCCATTTTTGATGATGTTGTTGTTGCTGCTGCTGTTGCTGTTGTTGTTGCTGCTGTTGTTGTTGTCGTTGTTGTTGTTGTTGTTGAACATTATTTATTCTAAAGAATAATTATTGTTGGGCCCCCTGGTGCGCGCCCCCCCTGCGCCGCCTAGGCCGCAGCTACATTTTCATCATTTTCGTGAGGAAGCCTCAGAAAAGAGGGTGTGTACAGGATCCGGTTGTTTTGTTGTAATCCGCTTTCCCTTGCAAAAAACAATAGAAAATTACATTTCTTGTTCTAATATAATCAAATTTCAAGAATCCCTTGCAAAAAATAAGGTAAAGTGGACATTCGCGCGCGCAAGACGAAATCCTTCCAAAACCTTAGTGTTCGTAGCGATTTTAACATAAAAACATCAAAAAACCAATGGTTTTTCAACACAAATTTGTCAAAATCTCATCCCGCGCGCTCTTGCGGATTCGTAGGAAACCCAACACTTTTTAAACATTTCTGTCAAACGGGCTTTTGCGAGCAACTTTTTCGAACTTCTGCAACAACGGTTGCGCACCTGCCAGGGCCATCATCCCTGTCAAATAATACCCTGCGGGACACATTCGTTTTTTCTTCGCGCGCGCACGCCGTCGTCGTCGGCCGCGGGGCCCTGAATAGTAGCCACGGTCGTCCGCATGCCACGAAGTGAAGTGTCCGAACGTCATAGGGCGGGAAGCTGGGTGTGGGTGGTGGCGAAGAGTCGTTTGGAAATTTGGTAGAGCTTGAACCGGCCCCCCCACAAAGTGGGGGTATTGCCCGCCTCCTATGAAAACCCTGGCACTGGTGAGAACGGAGTGTCCCCACGTGCTAGTAATTGTTGTTGTTGTTGTTGTTGTTGTTGTTGTTGTTGTTGTTGTTGTTGTTGTTGAACATTATTAATTCTAAAGAATAATTATTGTTGGGGCCCCTGGTGCGCGGCCCCCTCGCCGCGCCTAGGCCGCAGCCATGTTTTCATAATTTTCGTGAGGAAGTCTCCGGCAAAACGGGTTGGTCCGGATCCGGTTGTTTTGTTACGGGCGGTTTTCCCTTGCAAAAAATGAGGCAAAGTGGACAGTTCTTGTTCTAACATAACCAAACTTCAAGAATCCCTTGCAAAAAATGGGGTAAAGTGGACATTCGCGCGCGCAAGACGAAATCCTTCCAAAACCTTAGTGCTCGTAGCGATTTTAACATAAAAACATCACAAAACCAATGGTTTTTCAAACAGAAAGTGTCAAAATTTCATCCCGCGCGCTCTTGCGGATTTGTAGGAAACCCAACACTTTTTAAACATTTCTGTCAAACGGGCTTTTGCGAGCAACTTTTTCACGTGCTTCGAACTTCTCCAACAACGGTTGCGCACCTGCCAGGGCCATCATCCCTGTCAAATAATACCATGCGGGACACATTCGTTTTTTCTTCGCGCGCGCACGCCGAAATCTTCAAAAACCATTGGGTTTCTTAGGAATTTTAGCACCGCGCAACATAAAATCATACGAATCGCACCGTAGGTCCTCGAAAAACATCTGTACGAATTTTCAAAATTTCTACCCGCGCGCGCTGTCCGAATCCTACAAAACCAATGGTTTTTCACAAAAACCAGTACAGGTGTCCACCAAAAACCAGTACAGGTGTCCAGTGTTGGAACAGGGGGAAAAGTCGTATACTAAGCTAGCGTCCAGAAAATGTTACCACAACAAGTCACTGTACCCATGCGCCAGTGTAGTAGCCACGGTCGTCCGCAGGCCACGAAGTGAAGTGTCCGAACGTCATAGGGCGGGAAGCTGGGTGTGGGTGGTGGCGAAGAGTCGTTTGGAAATGTGGTAGAGCTTGAACCGGCCCCCCCACAAAGTGGGGGTATTGGCGGGCGTCGTATGAAAACCCTGGCACTGGTGAGAACGGAGTGTCCCCACGTGCTAGTAATTGTTGAACATTATTACTTCTAAAGAATAATTATTGTTGGGGCCCCTGGTGCATGGCCCCCCCGCCGCGCCTAGGCCGCAGCCTCATTTTCATCGTTTTCGTGAGGAAGTATCAGGCAAAACGATGTGTACCAGATCCGGTTGTGTTGTTACGATCGGTTTTTCCCTTGCAAAAAAATAAGGCAAAGTGGACTGTTCTTGTTCTAACATAACCGAACTTCAAGAATCCCTTGCAACAAATAAGGTAAAGTGGACATTCGCGCGCGCGAGACGAAATCCTTCCAAAACCTTAGTGTTCGTAACGATTTTAATATAAATACATAAAAAAACCAATGGTTTTTCCAAAAAAAAGTGTCAACATTTCATCCCGCGCGCTCTTGCGGATTTGTAGGAAACCCAACACTTTTTAAACATTTCTGTCAAACGGGCTTTTGCGAGCCACTTTTTCGAACTTCTCCAACAACGGTTGCGCACCTGCCAGGGCCATCATCCCTGTCAAATAATACCATGCGGGACACATTCGTTTTTTCTTCGCGCGCGCACGCCGTCGTCGTCGG